CATTTTCAAAGTTTTTAATATCAGTTATAATTTCCGATAATTTGTGAATTGCTTTCAATTCAGTTTCGTTATGATTGCTATCGGTTTGAAATTTTTGATACAAATTCTTCAATACTGTTGAATCGTTATTAAGATTTGAGTTCAAACACTCTGTCGTCAAGTAATTTAAAATTAATTGAATTAATATTATTTTTGTCAACATTTTGTATGCGAAATAAGTTTTATATAATTATCATTATTATCAAAAAATTAAAAATAAATATTTTATTTGTGCCTGAATTTCAATAACAGAATTGAGTGCTAAATAACATATGCTTTTGCTGTATATTTAGGCCATTCATGATATAAAACACAAGAATATACAAAATATGGGACAAAATCACGAATAAAACAAGATTTTATGCATATTTTGTATGTAAAATGTATTGACTCTAACATTAATCATGTTTATAAAAAATATTTATTAATGCTTTTTAATTTGATAAATGATTAAATTAAATACATTAATTTTTATGCAAAGATACTACCGTATATTTACTTAATCTTTCATTGACTTATTTATTACAATTATTGTAAATTACTATAGACTGCAAAAAAAATGCGTTTTTGATGCTTTTACACCGAAAAAATTATTTATAATTCATTATTACAAATATTAAAGTTGTGTTCAAAGCAATGAATCAAACATTACTTGTATATAAAGTTAAGTTTTTCAGTGACTAACGCATCAAAAACGCATTTTTTTGCAGTCTATATAAATTACATACAATTTATAGCTTATAGTCTAAAGAATCCATGAAAACGTAATCATTAATAAAAAGCAATGTAAAAGCATAAGGATTTTTATGACTACACATAACTCTAGTAATAATGCAAATTAATTTTCCATAGAAATAATGTTATAACAGAAATATACTATAATTTTAAACCAAATAAACTTCAGAGACCTTCGGAGAGAAATACCGATCGATTATAAACTTGAACTCCGATTTGATTTGGCCTTCAGTTTAAACACCAATTATTGTCATAACTTTTGTCTTTCATTCAATACCTGTTAAAAAGTGATTTCAGAGACCTTCGGAGAGAAATACCGATCGATTATAAACTTGAACTCCGATTTGATTTGGCCTTCAGTTTAAACACCAATTATTGTCATAACTTTTGTCTTTCATTCAATACCTGTTAAAAAGTGATCATTAGTTTAATCCTTGAATTTATTCACAACAAAGACAACAGTATTTAGGATTTAAATCAATTGATTCTTGTTTTTTATTTGAGTTATAATTAATTTTTTATGAGAAATCATATCTAAATTCCTTTGTTTTTATAGTTCTGTCATTATTTTTATTACAAGTCATAAAATTATATAAAAATACTTTCAATTAAATTGAAATACACTATAAATCACATGCGGTTAACAAATCATATAATAATATTAATTAACGACAAATTTTATTTCAGAAATATTTTATAATGAATTTCTTTATTAATTAACAAAGAAGTAGAAAATAAAACTTTAAAAACACATTTTATTTAAAGTAACAGTGTTACCAGATTAACCAACACTTGTAATGGATTTAGGGAGAGATTGAAAGGGATTACAAATGGTCACATCGTTTATAATCTTGGATTTACAATCAGTATTACAGTAATCATTGACTTCGAGACTAAATCTTCTATAACGTGAATAAAATAACTGCAGGTAATAGTTATCGCGATTTATTTTGCGGATCAGTTGATCAAAATCATTGTTTCCAAAGTTCATTGAATAGTCGACAGACATCGAGTACTCCAACGGCCACTCGGGTGTCGACCCTTCCTGCAGAGTGTTGGCCCGACTTAAGTCCAGGGAATAGGTCTCGATGTTATCAATTATGCCTAAAATATACATCAAATAACTTTATTATACTGTATGCTTTATATTGTATTTTATAAAACAATATACAATACCGTTATCTCTAATCTTTACTAAACGATAGGCGGGATTGAGACGAAGACTGCCGTCATATGGGGTAACACTGGGGCTAATAATCCCAAATCCAATAACTTTATTGCAATCATAGTTAGAGTAATAGACTCTCAGCTCATCATAATGTGTGTGACCGTAAAATTGACCCACAATTGTATTGCTATATCTCTCAATGATATTTAAATAGTTATAGAGCCAGCCCTGAGTGCACTCCCGATTGTCGGGCGGAATGTGTCCCACAATATGGACAAACTCTGAGGCCTTTTCGGCCAAATCTAATTGATTTGAGAGCCATTTGAGTTGATTCGCCGGATCTATCGGTTGATAATATGTCCAAATGTTGAGTCGCGCGCAATAATTGGTGTTCACTACTATTACCCGAAATCCGGGTCTTATTTTTATTGTATAATAACCGGCACTAAAATTATGCAAATTTTAATCAATTTTCAAATTTATTATTAAAATATATGTTTTGTGTCAATCAATGCTTACGAGCGAAATGAAGACAACTGATCCGTTGGGAACAATTCAGACCATTCATCAATCATATGGTCGAAAACATAACGAGTGGACAAACTGTTAGTGATGTCCGGCGGGGAAAAGCTATGAAAACAATATATAAAGTTTATATAAAGAGCTTTACTTAATATTAATGTCGTAAAAAATCAATGGTTCATACGTTCCGACCGGAACTGCCATATGATTGCCGAGTGAGACAATCACTGGACTCTTAGAATATTTCTTCAAATAGGATGTAATAATTTTGGATGCGCTGAGTATACCTTCTTTGGAGTCCTGCCTATTGTCGGGATATAAAGGTCTTAGCTTTAATCGGGAAAAACTATTCAATAATATAATATCACTAGACTTACCACGTGTCGTGAGGGGTCACATCTCCTGTCCAATAGACCAAATCAATAGACTGCCAGTCAATTGTTGCGAACAAATTGTCCAACAGTTTAAGGGGTGTATCGCAGAAATAGGACCCCCACTGCCCGGCATCGGGAGTGGACGGGACTGTTGTGCTGTTGGATCGACAACAATAAGGAGCTCCACATTTGGGCTCAATTAACGGCGAGTAGTGTTCGTCCAAATGAATGTCCGTTATGTGCAATATATTACTAGTTTTGTTGCCATTGTTTTGCTTGGCTTTTGGTTTTGAATTGATTTTCTTTCGTTTATTAAGTTTTAATTTCCAATATATATTGTCCGTTGGATTCCCGACCAAACATTGGTCACCCAAAAGTAGGGCACAAACTTCTGGTGTACTTAATCTTGTGGTGTGTCTTACCTGATCCAACGGTTCCTGTTTTATAAGTGGATTTTTATTAGAGAGAGAGAGAGAGAGAGAGAGAGAGA